TTACTCACTTTCTTGCTGCGTTCACTAATTTCAGTTCTAGGCATTTTTGCATCTGAAGTAAAAATGACACACACCCCCATTCAGGGCGCAGGCAAGAAATCTGGACTACGATGCCTCCAGGGACTCTTCCAGGCCTCCTCACGGCTGGGCCTGTCCCTGCCCAATTCAATCAAACCCTGAGCTTGCAAGCTTTCATTCTTTGGCAGGCCGAAAGAGTCGCCACTCGTCCCCAAATATCTCCTCTGCAATCCAGCCTAACTTGATCGGCTTGGATGCTGGTCCTTTACGCTGGCCACTATTGCCCGTCCTGAACGCAGAACTGTCGGGCTGTAAGTCTTCACCTTGGATACCCTTTGCCCTTTTTCAAATAAACTTAACTGGAAAAGGCCAGAGGGTCGGATCAAAGAACCAAACAGACACATGGACAATCTTTAATTACTTTTTTAACGCCACAACAGTGCATTTTCTGGCTGTAAGCAGAACTGTTTCTGCAGCACCCTTGGAAATACAGTGAGACTTTGCTGCTCTGACTTCAACTGATTATAAAAATAGGCAAAGGTTACCACATTATTTAAAAAGAACACAAACACTGCCAAGGTTCGAAACACTGCCAGGACCAGGACAGGGCGCTGGAGAGACGCACAGCCCACGATGCATCCGCTTCCCGTATGGCATCCAGACGGCAGAAGTGAAATCCGTTCTGAGTCATTTAGAGCAAAACGAGTGACATTATAAAGGGGGTGCGAAGAGGAAGAGGAAGGGTGGGTGGACTGACAATACCTGAAGGCAATATTTGAAACAGGCACAGCTCCTTTCTCCCCCCACTCCCCCCCCCCAAAATACTTAGTTTTGCAGCAGATACAGAGGCAGAGGATCTGGAAGCATAATGCATAATTCATCCATACTAACCTCTGAAAAATAAATTATTCTGCAAGTTAAAGATCCAGTCACTGCTGCCAATAAACACTGTATGTAGTCCATGTTACTGTGCGTGTGGGGGAAAAGATTATCTTAATCCAGGAGACCTGCAAACATGTCATACAATTTGATGTATTGTTTGAAAAATTTTTGTGAGCCGCCCCGAGGCTTTGTTGCGATGGGGACGGTATAGAAATGTTTTAAATAAATAAAAAATAAATAAATAAAATGATGCAAACTGGGACAATTCAGCCATTTGGGGTTGGGTCTCTCCTCCCTGCTCTGCTGGAAAAAGGGACAGCTTTTGTAGGCACACTCAGGATTTTGACACTCAAGCTCACCGCCTGAGCTCCTTGAATACTAAACCCAGAACTCAGCAATTCAATATTCAAAACAGTACATTTGGTTTCCTTTGATTAATATACTCTTGCGGTACAGAAATCCAGCACTAACTGTTCTCCTTTTGGAATTCTAGGTGGATCCTAATCCCACCCCCCCCCCCCAGCAAAACGAGATCACAGGAAGCATTTATTAGAAGAAATAAAGGCTAAGAATCCCGAGTCGGCCTGTGCTGCTTTCTACGCAAAAAGAAAGCTCCTGCCAAAAGGCAGACCTCTGATCCTCAAAGATTTCATGTTTGCCACCGGGGGACACCCAGCTTTCCTCCTCATTAAAAGTCTGCTGGCCAAAAAATCACGAATATGATACTTTAACTCATATTGCGCTCTCTAACACATACACACTCCCAAGCAACCCTGTGTTAAAAGTCTAATAACTATGAAAACAATCAGATTTATTTTGTCTTGTCAGATAGTAAAACACTAAATAGTCAATTAATTACAATTCTGTCTTCATCCAAGAAGTAGATGTTCAATCCAGACAAACAAAATGGAGAGATTAAACACTTGTGAATAAAATTTGCTCTCCTCCAATTACATCAAAATTAAGTTTTTCTGTATATCATTCTTTTAAATACAGACATTCAGATTTCAAAGAACTTGGACACTACATTATATGCCAATGCTTTCCAATAAGCTTCTATTTTTAAAAAATCCATAAATCCTTAAAAAAATTGAAACCCTGGCAGACAGGGCGAAACTCTTTAGCCAGTAAACATGACTCCTTTTTCTTAAAACTTTATAGACACCCTGGGTTTGTTCCTGTAATGTTAACACCATGAAATATTAGCCGAGCTGCTGCAAAAGATGGTGGTAAAATTTCTCGCCGCCTCTGGAGCCACTTAAATAAGCAGTGGGAAACAGCGGCGTGCCCATTTCGGAACACGGCAACACCAGGGGTGAGATGCACACAGAGCGCAAGCCACAAACCGCAGCGGCGGGGCCAGGTTTTGAGGTGCGTGATGTTTGCCCTTCCGTCTCCGTCAGAAGGAGGCTCTGATGGAATCGGTTGTTCTGTTCTCTTTCACATTGTATGTTCCTTCCTGGCCAGCACTTCGTGGAATTTCTGTCCCTAAATTAATCATATCCACCTGACAGCTGGGCTGAGATTTAAAGCGCAAATGGTAGCACCTAGCTAGAATGTATGTTATGAGCATGCTGAGAAGAATTATAATTCCATGCAGAAAATAACGTTAATAAACTGAAATTTTAGAAGTGGCTGGGAACTTGTCAATCAGCCCGATGCTTTTGCGCCAGGCAGAACACTGGAAGGCATATTTGAATTAAGTGACTGGGCAGGATACATGCTGCATCTAAATAAAACATCAGCCCAGGATATTTCTGAGAATTATGCCCTTAGTAAATACTGCCCGGTATCTTAACTCTTAGTGCTTTGGAAACAGGTGTGTGCGTGTGCACGTTTGGATGCGCCTGGGAGGAAGCCTGGGTGAAGCACCTGCGCATCTACAGTGCAGCCACGAGCATCAACAAAACAGAAAACGTGTCTTGCGTTTTGCACGCAGCCTCCCACTCAGCCCACCGGGTAACGTACGGCAATGATCTACAGTCAATCGGCAGCCCTTCTGCCGGTGCGTCTATAGATTTTTCTCGTAATCTGAAAATTCAAGGTCCACTCCTCCCCACCCCTTCCTGTTCCCATTTCACAAATTCTGAAAACATAGCAAAATCCAAAAATATGGGGAACAAGGAGAAAGAAGATTCCCCCCAAGTAATAGCGCCCCACTATTTCGCCACAACCAATTCAAGTTCTACATATAACGCAAGGGGGGAAATCGCTCAGGATGAAACGTAAGATGCCAATCAACTGCAGCGTGGCTCTGTCACGCTCAAATGATACACAGGTTATAACAATGGCATGCAAATAATATGCAAATTAGTCAAACCCCTCCAGCTGACAATATTTCTACTGCGGTCCTCATCTCTGAACAAGTTGCTAACTGACTGCGCTAATAATACGACGAGTACTTGCCAATTCCTGGGACAACCAGATTTTCCCACTTCACTCCAAATGGGAGACTGCAGAGAGTGGGGTGAGGCTGGGGTGCGGGTTTTTCCCCTTCCCACAGAGGCTGCATTTTCACTAACCATCTGCTACAACTTCGGAACTACTTGCATTCAGATCAGGGCAGAAATCAAGCCAGTTCTGCACGAGAGAGGAAAATTCCCAACAAATGGAACAGGAGGGAGTTTGAAAATGGAAGACAAGGTGAAGGGGTGGGGGCGGGAGGAGGGGGATGTGGAGCGGCTAACAGGAAAATAAAATAAATAAAATGAAATAAAACGAAATAAAACCTGAGACGATCCTGATGTTCTTGGTATTACCTTTACATATCCAAGCTATATCGCACCACATTATTCAAAGAGCACCGAGGCCTCTTGACTTGGTATTACTGGGACACATAACGAACGGCTTCTACAGAAGGTCAGCATTCAGCTCGGCAGTCCGAGGGCCTTCAGAGGCTTGAATGCCAGCGCTAGGTGCTTTGTCTAGGTTACAAGCTGCACAAACAAGATTTAACAAAGGCCCTCCTTAGGCAGCGCATACAGATTGCTGGAGTCAAATAATCCCATCTCACTCAGCTGTTCACACGGAGAAACATTCACAGAGGCTTCAAGCAGAAAGATCCCCGCTTCCTCGCCTTTCAGGCATCACTTTTCCATGTACACCAAGTGGGCTTGCAATCATATTTGTTGCCACTTGCGTTCGTGTCAAGCTCCTCACTTTACATGATTGAAATGTGAATTACTGACTGATGCATCCTTGCCGGAAAAAGGAGCGAGAAAAGGGAAGGGAACGGTGGAGGCTTTGCAGTGCAGCACAACCAAGCACCGAACACAAAAACCGGGACTCCACAACGGCCTACACCACGGCCTCTCCTGTAAGCTAAGCCTTAGCCGCTAAAACATATGCCGAGATTTCTGCCACAGCGGCAACAACAACAACGACGACAGTTATACATTTGAAAGTTGCAATACAGAAGTGCCAAATGTCACTGAGCATTCGTCTCAGAGCATCTGCTGTTTAAGATCAACCTTGATTGATGACAGCTATTTTTAATTGTTGCTTTTAAATTTTAAATGCCCCCCTGAGACATTTTATAAGTGTATTAGTGCATGGCAGGAGGCCTGCGAGCTGGGAAACACAGCGTGAGTACCCTCGCGTCATTAACACCTCTGGAGCCAAGAATACCATTTGATGGAGGGTCCCAGGACCCTAACACAATCCAGCCGTGCGTTCCCCCAGGTACACACACGTATCCAAACGCGGTTGGAGGCGCATCACCTGAGCATACATCAGGCGGACTGTTTTCCGCAGAGGAACCACGAATTTTATAATAGCTTTAAGCCCTCAGTAAAGCAAGCACAAACCCCTATGCTAAAAGGGGGTTAAAAAATTATACAGATAAAAACCCCATTCTGGATCCTTTTAAATTAATGTAATATTTCTAACAGTAATAAGACATAGAATACACTAAAGGAAGCAAGCTCTGTGTCATCGTCCCCCAACACACACGCACACAATGACTCTGTTTCATTGTGCCTTCTCGATGAAAATAAAATAACTGTTTCCTTTCGCTTTAAATATTATACTGGAAAGAAATCAGATCTCTGAGAAACACATGAATGGGAGCCAAAGAAAGAAAAATAAGAATTCCTTCTTACCTGTTTTTTCTTTGATTTCACACAAGACATTAAAAAGTGCTGGTTTCATTCTGTGACAGTTTAAAGCATGCTTTCTGCAAGGAAACCAAAAGGACTTTATGTAGGCAATGCAGCAAAACCACAAGAAAAGTTTTTATTAAAAAAATACCATGGCATACTTCAGGCAGGAAAAATACCGACGCCAAACCACCACTGAAAATTATGCACAGATGAAAAACAGTGTACAATTTTAAAATGACTGAGACACCAGTGTGAGCACTACCTAACACAAAGCAATGCAAAGAGCACCATGGCAGGGGACAGTCTGACGGAGGAATTCCAGCTGGATTTACATGCCAAGCTTGCTTGTCAAGCTATTAACAGGTCAATGCTAGGAATATGTATAAGCCATTGATCAGTCTAGCCACGATCTTATTCATCCATGCAAGGAACTTTGTATTCGTTCTCCTACCTCTCCCTTCCATGCGCCCCTGTGTTCCAGTGCATTGTGCAGGCACCTCTGCACTGGGAAGCTCTGAAAAGCCCTTCAATGTACAGAATTTCAGCCTTTGAATTAGGAAGCATGGAAATGCAGAACTGCACTTCTAGGGAAGATCACGCGTGCGCGCATGGATGGGGGGGCGATTTTATGCTTCTATCTACCCTGACCACTTATTTGAAGGTCTTAAAATGGGATTGTCACAAAAACAAAGGTGAATCAGAATAAAAATAAATTGCCATTTTAGAGGACAGTTAACCAGCTAGAATTTTTATGGCTCTCTCCCTGCCTCCTAAAGATGCCAGAAAGTGGGTGGAGATTGTTTATTAGGTTGATTAGCTTCATGTGCCCATTCCAGGAAAGAAACAATCTTTTTAATTTTTTATTTCTTAGAAAAGCAATCATTTTGGGAAGATTTCTTATTATGTGCACAAGTTTTAATCTCATCAGGCATCTGTTGAAGAATAATTTTTTTTCAACCAAAATGCATGGCACGAAGATGTGAACAATCTGGTGCCTGGAGCAGAAAATTTAAGGAAACCCCCTTCTCCACTGACCAATGGAGGACATGCCCCACCGGGAAGTTCTCCTTCGCCAGGCCCATGAAGTCTTTGGACGGCTCACAACCAGGGCTCGCTCGCTCGCTCGCTCCCTCGCGCAGAGCGTCCCGCCGGGTTGTGCCCCAAATTCCCATTCCCCATCCTCCCCCTCTGCTCACCTTAGTGGCACCCAAAATCCACAGGCAGAGGCAGCTGCCTCTCCTCACCTCACAGCTGGGCAGCCTCGCCGTGCACTTCCGCTACTCCCGCACCCCCCTCCAAAATATATCTGAGCAAGTATGAAAATGCCCACGGGGTGAAAACTGAGAGATTCCATCATGTCATCAGGTCTCCCTTGGACATCCCTAAAATCCCTCTTTTAATTGTGGCAATGAATAGGATACAAAAAAAGCTGAAATGCGCTAGTAGGATAGTTGTTTTTCCTTCATAAAAGGTGAATTGCTACATTTTAAAAACCACGATATTCCAAAGAAAAGACACTGCAAAAAGAGCTGCACTGATTTTTAATTTAATTAGTAGATTTAACAGTGTCTTTGCCGAGTTTACCAAATGCCTAAATTTGCAGAAGCAGTGTTTTCTCTCTGCTTGTCTTACAGCTGTTCTGGGAAGCCCTGTCAAGTTCAGGTGTTTTAGGCAAGCTATTTTATGCAACTGGAATTTTGTCAGTGTAACCAGCCCAGGTGTTCAAAGCTCCAGTCCTATACTGTTTTACCTGGGATTAAGTCCCACTGAGCTCAACAGGGCTTAGTGCTATGCAGATCTGCATAGGATTACAGGGTTAGACGCTTTCTGAATTCAATGCCATCCCGATGAAAGTTAGCTGTAGCAAAGCTGCCAGGGATACCCGGCCTCAGGCATCGTCCACACCAACCGATACGCCACTGGGAACAAGGCATCACATGGGGGAGATTGCTAACTGCATCCTTCAGACAGAAAGATCCCGATGGCTGGAAGACGTACTTTATCTTTGGCTATTCTTTCTTCTCTTCTCTAAACCCGCGTTCTCGCGTTCTCCATTTCTGCAAACCACGGCCTGCTGAGGCGGCATGCAGCGTCCCCTGAGCTTCACTGATCAGACCCCATTTGCTGGCTTGAGGCTTTCTAAGAAGCGGCGCTCTGGATGAACATGTGCACACATGCTAATCCCGCCACAAACCATCCAAAGAGAAGGCATCATCCGAGCAGCACGAGCGTCAACCTAAGTCTAACCTTGAGAACTGGGAACATACTTTTCTCCGCCCAGAAATCCGGCTTGCTGGACTGCGAGCAGAGCCTGATTGTGAGCGACCACGGAATAACCGCAACGGGCAAGACAAAACCTCCCAGCAGACGGTCCGCTCGCCCAGCATGCAGCCAGCGATGGGCGCTCCCCAGCCAGGCTTACGGGGCTCCCGCCGTGCAAGCACCTTCCGCGCTGGGAAGGGACGCGCCGCGCCCGCGCTTTGTGTCCCCTACACACGCTCGGCACCCGCGCAGCAGCCCAAGAGGCGCCGTGCGCGCCTCCACGCCAACGCGCGCGCGGGGCGCCCCGAGCGCAGCGGCACCGCCGGCCGGCCGACACGCGCGGATCGGGAACGAGGCTCCGCGCACAAAGGGGACGCAAGCCGGCAGGCGCGCACGGCGAGCGGGCCGCGGCTGCAGCGGGAGGGCGCCGGCTGAACTTCGGGGACGGGGCGGCCGAGGGGGCGCCTCCCCGGGAACGCGCCGGCCGCTCCACGGCTGGTCGCGTCTCCCGTGCCCGGCCGCCGCGGCCCGCAGGCCCCTCGGCGGCCGGAGAAAGTTTGAGCCGCGCAGCGCGCCCGCGCAGGAGC